CGCAAGGTGGCCCGGGCCAGCCACCCTCCACCCTCCACCGCCCAGCAGGGTTGGCCGGTCGGACTCACCCTCTTCAAGGGCCTCACTCACTTTCTCGGCGTCGGAGGAGAGGTAGAGGTTGGTGTGATAGGCCTTGAGGTAGCACATGGGGCTGTTGCCTCCCGTCATGCAGAACCTCTCGATGAACAGGTCTGGGGAGGACGGACGCACCGAGTCAGCGAGGCCGGCCCCGCCAGGGCCGAGCGGTTGTGCAGCCCGACAGCAGGCCTGGAGCCCAGCACTGCATGGGGGGGAGTGGACCAGACGGGGAATTTGCTCCCTCCACCCCCGAGTGCCAGGCCAGACACAGCTCATGAGCACAGGGCGGCCTGGCTTCTGGAAAGACGGGGGCCCTGGGCCTGCTGGAGTGAGTGAGGCCCCGGCGCGCCCCATGTGCCCCCCACACTTAGCATCCTCCTCCCGGGAGCCGGCCTCCTTCCAGACACAGGGAAGACCCCAAAGGGCAAGTGGTAGTGAGACAATACAGCGGCTCTGGTAGAGACAGGTGGCCTAGCAGCTAGAGCACTAATATCTCACACAGATAACCTAGGTTCTAATCCCAGCTCTGCCTCTTGGCTGCAGAGTGATTTGGGGGCAAGTCACTTCACTGCTCCTTGCCTCGGTTTCCCCATCAGGTCACTCAAGTATTGTATGTCAAGTACTTTAAGCTCTGCCGATGCAAAGCGCTAGCTAAGGAATAATGCACTGCTCCTTCCTTCCCCAGGGTAGCCACACCAAGCTCTCAGCTAGGAACAGGGCAAAATCAAGGTCAGTCTGAGTTTGGCTTTTGACCCTGAGAAGTACCCAAGCACGGTTTGACCCCCCAAGCACAGTTTGACCCAGGCCTCCTTCCACCCAAGTGCTCAGGAACTGCACACGCTGGGACGGCTGCATCAAAGCCAGGCCAGGAGATGTTGCCCCACACATGTACCCCCCCCCATTTAACCAACCGGAGCCCAGGCTGATTCAGGTCTGGGTCCCACGTTACAGGGCTCCTCGACGACCGACAAGGGTTCGTTTTGCAGCCATCAGAGACGGGGGCGGGGTGGGCGGCTGACGGAACAGCAGGGGGGCA